AGATCAGGCTGTGCGGCATCGGTTACCGTGGAATTCCAGCAGGTTAAAATAGAGCCACCTTTATGCCACTGAACACTCTACCTTAAGCCTCAGCACACCTGCTAAACCACTCATTCTGCTCCGTAGTTCAGCCGTCAGGACTCCTTTAACAGTATCTGTGAGAACATTGTCAGCATTTACTATTTGACTGAATACGCGACGACATTCAGACCAAACTTTCCCGGTTCTCCTTTAAAAGGCTTTTTCTGAGGCTTTGACCCAATCTGTGTCTGGAGATCAGGCTGTGAATGTGTAGGTTCAGTAAGCTGGAGCTCTGCGTTATGTTGTGATGGGCAACAGCCTCCAGCTATGGGACTACATGTAGAGGCTTTGGTCATGGCTGGAGGTTCACTGTGAGCTGTCAGGTGATTCTCTACCTGCAGAAAGAACGCCCAGTGCACTTTGCATGGATTACCTGCCCATCAGACGTATAGGTGTGTTCTGTCCTGGTGGAGAGAGCTTTCTCCTGTCCTTCTGCGTTGACGGTCGCAGCTCATGCAAGCTGCTGAAGCCTTTTTGTTGTTAATTCAAACGAGTCTAAAAGACGATCTGAGTCAGTTCCTGTGTCAGAGAGCAGCCAGCAGACGTTGAGCTTTCAGTAGGAAATGCAGAATCTGATGGTGAGCTGACGATGTCGTTCAATTACAGCACCATTCAGTCACCTGACATTTTGGCCATTCAGGCCTAGTTTCTAGTCTAAGAAGAAACCTCTGATGAGCTGGTTTATATTTCTAATTTCACCATTCCTTCTTTTGTCATTCTTCTCCCTCGTCTTTCTGATTTGTTCCCATTTTCATCAACTCAACGTTTCCTCCATGTTTCCTTTTGTCTTGATCCGCTTCAGCGTCATGTTCTTCTCCAGCACTAATTGTCAGGTTTTATAGCCGCTAAACTGCTGCTTTTGATAGTTCAGCGCTGTTTCACTGGCAGTAGTTTGATTGCAGAGGCTGAGAAAAACTGCAAATTATTAGATAACAAAGAAATGACTCTTTTTTTCTGCTAATTTAGAGCAACAAATTGGTGATTAAGAAATGACTTGTTTTTGTTCTGATCAAATTAGTGCAGTGGAAATGTCCTATTTAAACCAATATAGTAAGATAATCCTGCTTCTTTGTTATCCAACCTTTATTTGTTCGTCTATTGAGATTGTAGATTTTTGTTTTAGTTATTTGTCAATATGTGTTTGGTTGTTCCATCTTGAATCATCAGTCCTTCTGCTCGACCATCTTTGACTTGCTTAAAACTGTTTTGAAATTTAAGTTAAAATTTCTATTTGTTCCCATCGACCCACTTTCAGCAGGTTTTTTCTCACAAAATTAGAGACTGTTTGAACAACAGTATCTGAGGAACTATTAAATATAAAAATCTGAAATATTTCTAATCATGTTATTGATTTAGAGTCTAAAGTATTGGACAAATGGATAAAATCATCTCTAAGTATGATTTGAAGTATAAAAAAATGGAGGCTGTTATGAAAAATCAGCTCTGTGAACACGTGAACAGAAAACTTAACGAAGCAGAAGTCATTAGCGACATTGTGAACCGTGTCGCTGCAGGTCACAACACTGCAAACGTAAACATGCTTTTAATGTGAAACATTTGGTCACGAAGGTGGAAAAAAAGTTTTTGTTGAACTTTCATAACTAATCGAGCAGTTTTGACAGTTGTACCACAAAAACTAAAGCATTAGATCAGAAGTTCTGGAGAGATTCTTTAAAAACTGGATCTCAGAAAGTATTTGATATGTCAGGCAAGAAGTACACAATCGTCTTTTTAAATACTAATGTTTTATACTACAGCATATCAGAGAGGGTTGAGCAGAAATTGTTCTGCAATTTTCCAGATTTGAGATGTAATACAATACTAATGTCTTTTTTAATTCCATCGGTATTTCTTTGCTCGTTTGCAGACAGGAGCCCGATACGAGGCGCTCCCCTGTAGCTCTGATGGTTCCTGTCCTACTGCCTGTATATTTACCATACCTCCCCTTGTTGATTGTCACAGGCTATGAAGCCAGTGAGGACAAGGCTTGCAAGGAGCCCCTACTAACCGACCCAGATGAGCCTCCACCGGTGCCAGTAATGCTGGCCGAGCCGGCCCCCGTGGCCTCCGTCACCCTGGAGCGCTCCGAGCCGGCCTACACAGAATACCCCGACCCTGGGCAGCCAGGGCACACAGGTGGGCTGGTTAGTGACTGCTAGTTAGTCAGAGGAGACTCTGAGCTGGTAGCTAGTTAGTGGAGGGTAACTGACCTCAGGCACCCTCAACCAGACAGGGACGACCTGTATGATGTAACCATGTGTAGGATTCAGTTTGAATTAACACCTGACGGCTGAACTGGAAAGACTGTCGGGTCAGAGAGGTGTGTTGGGCCTGGGGCCAGAGATGGCTGTAATTTAAAATGCTAGGTCACCACGGTAACTGATGCTGCACAGCCTGATCACCACGGTAACTGATGCTG